TTTTCCAAAACAATCAATCTCTGCATAGTCCTTGAGTATGTAAGTACCAAGTTTCATTGAAATGTAATGCTCACTACTTATATCAAAAGCTGAAAATTATCAGGTCTGTGCAGTGTCATATGACATCTATGTACCAAGTTTCATTGAAATGTGATGATTAGTACTTGAGATATCACTGGAAAAACCGAAAATTGACTAATCATTATGCAAATTAGGTAATTAGTATCCACGGATTATTACCAAAAACTAATAAAAAACCTAGCATTAGTTCAGAGCATCTATGTACCAAGTTTCATCAAAATCCAATGAGTGGTTGTTTAGATATCAGTGGAACAGTCATGGAACAGCTAAAAATTAGCTAATTATCATGCAAATTAGGTAATTAACGAGCATGGATTTTTACCAAAACCTAATCAAATTTGCGCATTGGCCCAGAGCATCTATGCACCAAGTTTCATCAAAAACCGATGTATGGTTCTTGAGATAGCAGTGGAACAGTTGGACACACATACACACATACACACATACACACACACACACACACACACACACACACACACACACACACACACACACACACACACACGCACACACACACATACACATACAGACACACTAACTGCAAAGACTCCCATTTTGTGCTTCGCACATGGAAGTCAAACAGCTGCATTGTCTCTCAAAATTTAATTAAATTGAGCTGACTGAACCTTACAAATTGATTTGAATTGAATATCAATCACAGTGCCACAATCAAAAACACATCATCATTATCTCAGCCTTTCACGCCACTGCTGCCGAGTGGTCTCCACAACAGCATCATTATGTTGTGGGGTTGAACTGTAACTCACCACGCAGGTTCAATTCGGTTCAACTCGCAAAAACACATATTACTGGTAATACAAGTCAAGTTTATGATATGTAAACCCACGTCCATTTCAATTACTCATCTACTGTAAAATGACTAATTTTCACTGGGTTTAAATTTCACTGATTTACCATTTCAGGCATATTCAGTGGGTTTTAAATTCACGGTTTTATCATTTAGATAATGTGTTCTATGCTAAATTTTACATATTCACTGTGTTTTAATTTAGCGCATTTTTCCAGTCAGCGAAATAAGCTAAATTAAAACCCAGTGAATAATTACCCCCTTTACAG